CTGGAACCAACTTCCAAGAGAGGTGGTGCAGGCTCCTACCCTGGGGGTTTTTAAGAGGAGGTTAGATGAACACCTTGCTGGGGTCGTTTGACCCCAGTACTCTTTCCTGCCATGGCAGGGGGTCGGACTAGATGATCTGCTTGGGTCCCTTCCGACCCTAGAAACTATGAAACTTACTATTCCTACTGTTCTCTTTTTTCTATATTGGCCATTCTTCGTACAATTTAAAAAACATCTGAGAACCCCTGCAGCTCTGCTTTCTTATCAGGATGCTAATTTCAAAGGCCTAGGCATAATAAACCCCAAATTTGTTCTCAATAAGGTCACTTCAAAAATTTAAGTTCAGCTGAAATTCTAGTTCCTGAATCCATTGCTGTAAGCAGTCACCAGAATGCTTTTCTAAATTCTTACAGTGGAGGGGGTGGGGGTGGAGGGAGCAGAAATACAACAGCAAAGGAGGCTGGGGCCGAATTGCTTACCTACCCTAAAGGCACATTTGGGCAAGTCTCCTTCCTCTACTTGCATCAGAGTCCCTCCCCAACTCTTTTTACTCTTCCAGCATATCCTGTATTGTGTACTAGGAAAGGACTGGGGGGAGGAAAGAGGCAGGGGGGTAATGGAAGGCATACACACACACAGCCAAGTCAGTAACGTAGATAAAACTTTAAAATCTGCTGAAGGATATCAAAAGCTATCTATGGTTAAGCAGTGAACCAATATAAGAAAACAGATTAGTTAAAGCCTTTTCAATAACAACTCTTGATTGTTATTTCCTACTTAAAATGGTTGGAAGAAATCAGCAAATGCCAGTTAAAAAAAATGTTTGCTAACATGAAAGGCTCAGATTTTTGTTGTTTTTGGCAGCATATTTGAACATCATGTAGGTGAGCTTTTAAGCACCCTATCAGAACAAGAAGTAGCCAAACAAATTAAGATTTAAACTAGGCATTTAGGTTAGTCACCAAAGGGCTGTTCCTGAAAACAAACAAGCAAGCAAGCAAACAAGCAGACAAAAACCCCACTAGATTTTGCTGAAAAAAAATCCACATCACTAGCTGGATACAGTAACTTCCTTTAAACTTCATGCTTTCATATTGGCTGTTTTGGGCCATTTGGGACCCAAAGGGAGCACAAGCTGAAGCTGAAGGACCTTCGAGCAGAAAGCACTGCAAGCAATGCCCTCTAAGGATTGTCTATGACAGAAAATATGGAACTAATGCTGTAGTGCTGCAGCTAGCTTCTTCATACCTTAGAGCTCTAGTACAGTACCGCGATAAAGAAAGATACAAGTCAGTTTCCTTTATATATCAACTCAAAAGCCTCTGTTGATCTGAAACTATTGCAGGATGCTGTGGGAAGAGGAACAATCTCTTTGTGTTTGTCTGGTGTAAAAAACATCCAGAGGGAGGTCATTAGGAGCAGCTATTACTTTACATTCACACACGACTTCACCTGAATTGACTTCTCTCTGCAGACAACTTTTTAGACAGGCAGGCACCAAGCCACCAGGTTTAAGGTGCTCTCTCTCATTTGTAAAGTGCAGCCTGAAATCCAAAGACAGCCAATGGAAGTTCTGAAGTACAGGCATCACATGTACATAGCAACACACCACTTTCCTCAGCCTTATGCATGAGGCAGTCAAACAGCTCAAAAATCTCCCCCCTTCCCCCAAACAGGCCATCAGCTAGAACACGGAGTTTTCATTGTGTACACATTTTACTCAAGGATAAGCTACCTTGAGAGCCTGCAAAGAAGAGTTTCATTTAGAAGTTATTGCTGATTATGTACAGTCTCTTGAATTAAAAATGTGGCTTAGGAGAAAATAAATTCATACAGTTTGTAGGCAAATCCATTACACTGACCACATGCACAAAAGAGCTTAAAAAGAAAATAACTATACCTATGGCTACTTTGTCACTGTCAAGACAAAAAAAAGCGTTGTTCTGCCTTAGTTTTTAAAAACTATCCCAGGTTTCAAGAACTCCCCTCCCTCCAAGACAACGTGCTACATATAAACATTTGAGTAATAAAATAAAATAAATTCAGACAGACTCAAGTCATCCTGACTTCCTCTTGAGCACACTCAAAATCTTTGCTTAACATTTCAATTAGCAATGCGGTCCAGTGGCCCCAATCAGAATTGAGGGATCACTGCCTCAGGGTGGGGGGTTTATAACAAAAAAAGCAGTTTACAGAAATAACAGAAAATTAGGGCTAGAAGGGAGGTCATCACAAAGTAGGACCAGCCCCAACTCCATCATCCCAGCCAGGGCTTTGTCTACCTGGGCCTTGAAAAACTCCAAGGATGGAGACTCCACCACTTCTCTGGGGAGCCTGTTCCAGTGTTTTACTACCCTCTAAGAAAGTTTTTTCCTTACATCAAATCTAAGCCTCCCTTGCTGCACCTAGAGCCCATTGCTTGTTTACCTGTCATCTGTCCCCACTGAGAACAGTCCAGCTCCATCCTCTTCGCAGCCCCCATGCAGGGACCTGAAGGCTGCTGTTCAATTCCTACTCAGTTTTCTCCTCTCCAGACTCAATCAGCCCAGTTCCCTCAGCTTCTCCCCACCAGTCATGTCCCCAAGCCCCCAAACCATTTTCACTGCCCTTTGCTAGACTCTCTCCAACTTGTCCACATCCTTTCTGCAGCGGGGGGCCCACAACTGCACACAGGACTCCAGCTGTGGCCTCCCCAGTGCCAAATAGCGGGGGAGAATCGGTGCCCTCGATCTGCTGGCAACGCTCCTAGCAATGCAGCCCAGGATGGCGTGAGCTGCCTTGGCAACAAGGGCACCCTGCTGGCTCCTATTGAGTTTCCTGTCGCCCCCAGGCCCTTTCCTGCACCTCTGGCGTGGAGCCGCGCCCGGAGGCCGCGCGGCCTGGACACCCGTTCCGAGCGCTCCCGAGTCATCTTCAGCCGGGGACTCGGGTAGGCCCGGCAAGGCCCCGCTCCAGCCCCGCACCCGGCGGCCGGGCCAGAATGGAGCCGCCGCGCCCAAGGTCGCAAGAGAGGGAGGGCGCGGGCGATCAGTGCCCCGGGCCGCGCCGAGTCGGAGGCCTCCCCCGGCCCCGCAACGCCGCCGCGCCCAGCCCAGCCTACCCAGGTAGATGTCCCCGAATGAGCCGCTGCCGATCTTCCGGCCCAGCCGATAGCGGTTCCCGACGCGCAGCTCCATGGCGGCGGCGCGGCCCGCGGCTCAGAGCCTGGCGGCTCCCGGCACCATCGCGGCCCCGGGACCGCGCGCGGCACCAGGGAG